TGGTAGGACATCAGCTCTAAGGGGGTCAACCTGGTTCTTCCTGGGATTGTGTACCAGACAAAGACAAAATGTTAGCACAACTGGGATCTCTATTTACCCTGGCTGAGTAAGTCCAGGCAGCAGAAAACTAAAACTGTCCTTTGAAATGCCTATATATGTCACAGCACAATCATCCCGTGATTCTATCTAGAATTTCATCTAGGCAGAGAAGCATTTGTTTGCCAAGTCTCTTCCATGAAATCTTCTCCTGCATGAGCTGCATGCTCGGTGTGCTCATCAGATGTTGAAACACACAGACCTCATCTCCATCCTGTTCCTCATCCAGCCACCCCTCCCGCTCCATAGAAGCATTACTAAGTTCTCACTGTCCCTGTGATTCTCCCTGTTTAGGGCAAAACCTCTGCCACTGATAAAATCACTCCCGCTCTTATTTCCCTAATGTAACCTTACAACCATAATCATTTATCTTTTAAGACTGCAAAATCATTTAAAATTAAGTGATTAAAGACTCTCATCTTTAATGGTCAAGTGGTTGTGAGTAGCACTTCAGAATCTCTTTATGAGATGCAAATTAAAACAACACTGAAATTCCATCTCACCCCCAGAAAGGGGTGCTGCTATTCTCAAGAAATCAAGCGACAGCAAATGCTGGTGGTGCTGTGGGGAAAAAGGGACCGTTCTTCACTGTTGGTGAGACTGTAGACTGGTGCAACTTCTATAGAAATCAGTATGGAGATTCCTCAGAAAAACTAAGACTAATGTTCCATTTGACCCAGGCATTCCCCTCCTAGATATCTTCCCAAAAGAATTAAAAGTAGCATACAGAGTGACATATGCACATCTATGTTTATCGTAGCACAGTTTGAAACAGCCAAATCTTGGAAACACACAAGTGCCTATCAGCTGGATGTAGTTTTTTTAAACAGTGGAGTACTACTCTGCCATAAAGGAAGATACACTCCAGAAAAATGGATGCACCTTGAGTCCACACTCTTAAGTGAAATAAATTAGACACAATGTATGAATACCGCATTGTTTCTCTGGTGTGTGAAACTAAAAGTGCAAATAAGGACCAAAATATATTTTGAAATAAGAGAAGAATGTTCAAATCGGGATGAGAACAAGAGGCAGGGGAGATGCAAAGGAAGGAAGGGAAAGGTAAAAAAGATGAGAGAAAAAAGAATCCTTTATTTGTGGTGTATTCCTGGCTGCATTTGTAGGATACCGTTCACTCTTGACCTCCAGTGGGGTAAGACAGTAGGATGCTCCCACTTGAACAAAACCCTATGATCAGGTGAGCATGCTACCAGAACTGTAAGACTCTCTGTCATGAGGTTGGGCTGGTCCATCAGGAATCACTGTAGAATGAAAGCTGTGTTTCTTTTTTTTTTTTTTTTGGTTTTTCTCCGGTACCGGGAACCGAACTCACGACCTTGCGCTTGCCAGGCAGGCGCTTTTGCCGCTGAGCTAAATCCCCAGCCCCAAGCTGTGTTTCTAGGATGGAGGAGGAGCTGATCTGAGGCTCAGTCACCTGCAAGGATAGGTGATCCACACCTCATAGCTCTATTTTTTTTTTCATGCCAACATCTCCCTCTGGGCTCATAGTTGTGTCCTCTGAGAGGATACAGGACTTCCTGTTCCAGGTATCAGAAATAGTTCTATAACGAACTGACTGAAACTTCTCATGTGTTTTATAACCATTTCTCATGTTATGTCTGTAAAATATGATATGTGTTGTACACTTATATCACACCTCAGTTTGGACATTAAGTTTTTTCAGAAATTGACTTCAATTTATTTTATTAAGCTTACGATTGATAAGGTAGACTTACATATTCAAAATGTCCAAAGCTTGCCTAAAAATCTTCCAATCACTGAATTGTTTAGGAAATTATCATTTTTATTTTCTTGTTTGTAGCCACATTGGCAAAACTAGCTTATGTTTTTAAGAACAGATTTGACATCGAAGGAAAAGAATATTAGTTTCACAGCTATGATGTTTGACCAAGTGTTTTACAAAAATTCTGTAGCTGAGCTGCTCCGGGTTACAGTTTTGCTGCCTCATGCTGGTGGAAGGTCTTCAAAGTAAGAGCCTCCCTTCTCCAGGTGACCAAAGATCCTGTTACTGAGGTAACATGGACAAGAAGTCCAGTCTCACTCTGTGCAGCTTCGTCCACCCTGCACTGCCTGCTGTAGAACAGAGAGGAGAACAGGTACAGTTTCTGTCAATGTGTCTCAGAATTGAATATCTGCCCAGGCTCTGTGTTTTGATGAAAAAATCAAGAGTGCAGAAAAGGCTGTAGCCCTTCTGCAAAGTGTCAAGGTCCAGAGAAACCTCCGTGATGCCTTCACGGATATTTACAACCTGTGCATATTAGTAGAGACTGATACTAACAACTTCTTGATAAGAACAGCTGTAATAACATGGGAGCACTTTCTTACACCATATTTAAGCTGTGTGTTTACGTCATCATCCACACCATTACCACTACTACCATAACTGTCATCTTCCTTATTATCAGTACTCTATTGAAATTGTTTTACCTCATTAACTACATTTGCAGTCCCTGTGGAAAATCTGTATCAGCCCACTGTACAATTTCAGTTAAACTGTGAATTGCCTCTTGTTAAATGCTAGTAAAACCTGTTCCCACCACAGACAACACATTGTTTCTTTAGACTTCTTGGAGGACCTTTTCTAAAAAGGACAGCACTCCAAGTGCTGTGTCAGTCATTTAGATACAGACCGAGTCTTCCCTTAATTGAAAAGTCCTCTTTTGTATCTGTATTTGGGAATTTTCCTTAAGACCAGTGTAAGCCTCCCCATTTCACAACAGTTATCTTGGAAATCAGAACAGTAGAGTCAAGTGAAGCAGTTGATCAGTTATCCAGAATTCCACTCCTTGGCTCTTTGGTCTAGAGCACGACCACACTGAGGCATGGAGGACTCTGAGCACTAAAGTGCAGAGCATGTCTTGTGTTCTACTTGGCTCACAGTCACATTCACAATGGCCTGGTCAGCACTAGGGGCCCTACTCAGCCAGCAGGTGGTGGTATCTATGCGGCTGTGCACGGGTAAGAGCAGGAGACCCTGTGGAGAGTGGGGAGGCTTTTGTGCAGTGCAGGGCTGGCCTAGCTCCTGCTGCTTCCTCTGTGTTGTTGCCTGATCTCCTCTGTTATGGTTTGGATATGGGGCTTCCCCCAGGCATCGCATGTACTTGGAAGGTGATTAGATCGTGGGAATGCTGTGCTCATCAGTAGACTCATGCATTTGTGAGTTCAGTGGCTGGGGGTGGTGCTGAGAGGTGAGGCCTGATAGGAGGTGGATCACTTAGTGCGGCTGGGAGGCGTTCATTCTTGCCTCCATCATCTCTCTTCTCATTCTCTGATTTCCAGCTAACATTGGTTGAGCAGCTTTCTTTTACCATGTGGCTCTGTGGTGGAGCCAGTGGAGTTTTTGTTTGTTTGTTTGTTTGCTTGCTTTTTTTCCAGTACCAGGAATTGAACTCACGACCTTGCACTTGCCAGGCAGGCGCTGTACCGCTGAGCTAAATTCCCAGACCCCACCAGTGGAGTTTGCATTGGAACCACTGGCAACTTTTCCCCCAGTGAGATTCCCCTCCTTAAATAGTTATGGGACACTGCATTTCCTTTCATAAAATATAGGAGAGCATGGAGTATAGTTCCAGAGGATCTCAGAGTGTCAGTATCTCTGTGGTTCCCGGACTTCTTACAAGTAGTGATGTGCTGCTTTGAGGAATATAAGTGGGAACTAAAGGGATTCAAACAACCACTCTGACATCTACCTGGCTGTGGGGGAGGAAGAACACCTCAGGGGGTGTTTGCTGTCCTGCCCCATGGCAGCCCTGCACTGGTGGGTATGCAAGTTACTGGCTGCTTCTGATTTGCTTGGCATTATGCAATGGTAGGAATCTATGTGTGCAAACGTGAAAGAGGGGAAACCATGGGAGGGAGAGTGCAGGGAAGGAGAGGGAGAGGAGGAGGGGCCCAGCAGAAGGAGGGAATAAGCTGCTGGGAGAAACTGAGCAGTGTGGGATGGATTTCCATCCCTGCTGTTCCTCAGCCAAGCCAAGTAGTCATCAACCTGGGGCATCCTGTTAACCCTATCTGGATGCCACCTGAGCACCTCCCTGGGGACCCTCATAGGACCATTTCTACCCAAGGGAAGGTGGTCTGTCTAGGAGTGGCTCAGCTGCCCTAACACATCTCAGGCCCTCTGTGGAGATATGGTGGCTGTCTCCTCATGGGAATGTCACATGCTCCTCTTTCTGTCATGGTCACTGCCATCCTGTGGGGAGTGCTGCTAGGGAGTCCACTTGGCTCTGCCCCACTTTGGACCCAAAACACTCGTGCTCAGAAAGATGAGGTAACTGGTCACTTTTTCCCTCAGCACTTTTCTGAAAATCTTCAATCATTCAAGGAATCTTCTACCCCCATAAAATCCCAGCTTTTACCTGGGAGAGTATGAAGCTTAAAAAACGTTTTGAATCTGAAACACTTTGATACCATGGGCTCTGTTTTTTCCTTAAAACTACAGTATTACATCACCAACCAGGTCCAATTCCAGGCACTTTCTTTGTGAAAGACTGCCGTGAACCTTGCAGTGAGATCCTCAACTCTGTAACCATCCACTGACTGCCTTCTCCTGAGACAGGCAAGGTGCTGTTCCAGAGAAACTCCTCTTCACAATCATAGGCTCAGTGATGCTTGTGCATTAGGCTTTCTGTGGTCTTAGGAGCTGCCAGTTCAAGTCAATACAATGTTCTGTTCAGGTGAAAATCAAGTGAGCTGCAGCTGCAGAGGTTCCTGAATCTGGTACATATCTCTCAGGGATGTGAGGGCAGGAACAAGACTAGAAACTTCTACCTCCTATGACAGGGTAACTTCTGCCATTGTGAGGATGGCAGGGAGGGGCTGTAGATCAAGGCTGGTGACAGGTTTTTGTCTTACTCTCCCATCTGTCTGTGTCACTGTGAGCAACAGCACTGCTGTCATAACTTTGACAGTAATAGTCAGCCTCATCCTCAGGCTGGGCCCCACTGATGGTCAAGGTGGTCGTGCTTCCTGAGTTGGAGCCAGAAAATCTGTCAGGGATGCCTGAGGGCCGTTTACTATCCTCATAGATGACCAGTGCGGGGGCCTGGCCTGGCTTCTGCTGGTACCAGTTAGCATAATTCTCAGAGAGATTATCTCCAGAGCAGGTGATTGTGGCTGTCTGTCCTGGGGTCACTGACACTGAGGGCGGCTGTGTCAGGATGGCGGAGGCTGTGGAACCTGCAAGAGAGGAGGGGAGAAGGGCCTGAGGATGAAGGACCTATGCCCAGTGGCCCTGCCAGACACTAGACGTAGGCCCAGCTCAGGATCTGGGACAGAATCCAATCTTTGTCAAGTGGGAGCTGCATCAAGGCACAGAGATGGGCAGGTCACCTGTGCAGAGGAGAATGAGCAGGCAGTGTGTCCAGGCCATGTTGGTGATGTCCAGAGCTCTGCCTGCTGAGATGCACAGCACAGTTGGCCTCTCCCAGTCCTCTCTTATTAGTCTGAAATCTTTGGGGCAGCAAGTGTTTGATGATTATGCAAATTCACTGCTCCCATGGGGCTCATGATTGAAGACAATGGGAACATATTTACCAGCTGGCAGGGTCCTTGTCATGAGGGAGGAGGAAGAGCTGTACTTTAACTTCCTCCAGTTTCTTTTCCCCTGGCCTCTGAGTGCCTGATCATAGCCATCTTTCATGGGCTGAGCATGGGATCACTGTCCCAGTACAGGTCAGGTTTGTAGGGTGTCCTGGGCTCAGCTTAGCACAGCTCTTGTCCTCCCAGGAACCTGGGTATGGCTGAGCCCTGCTGAGAGACCATTGCTGATGTTTGACTCAGCAGGAGGTAGACCATGGATGCCTCATCTTCTTCCTTTTTCTTGCCCCTGAGTCCTCTGCTTCACTTTTGTCCCATTCTTGTCATTTCATTAGAAGTTGGTCATGTGTCATCAGGATTTTATTTCAATCATTACATGTATGACATTTGATGGGGTAAACCACCAACAGATTGTATGAGTTCACAGCATCTTGTAGAATGATTTCACATGTGTTGTTTTCTCTGATTAGTGACATCCCTGTTTCCACATTACAATAGCAATGGGTTTCAGAAATTTACAACTTTCTTTCATTTTTTGCATCAGGTTTTCATGTAATCTTGTTAAAAGTGGCAGAAACCAGACCTTTCCTAGAAATATACTTCTACTTCCATGGCCTCTGTGATGCTCCTAGCCACACTCTTTTTGGCAATCTCAGCTCTGGAGGGTGGATGTCAGAGATTCCTCTACAAGTGAGGATCCTGTCCTGAAACAAGGACAGTCCAGTGACCAGAGCTGTGACCTAAGGGTGATGAGGTACCATGTCACTCTTTAGAGTGTCTTCCACCAGGGATTGCCCTGAATATAGGATCTGCAACCTGAGGGCAGATCTGCTTGCAGTTTGAAGAAGGTAAGAGGAAGGAGGGGGCCTGAGTCTCTGGGAGATGCAACCCTGGGTGCCACTGCTGCACACTGATGCATGATACCCTTCTAGAGGCCAGTAGTCCTAGCAGCCGTCCTGAGTTAGAGACACATGTTCTTGGAATCCCATCTTCTCTTGCTGAGCTCCTTCTTAGGAAACATGTTCTTCAGGAAGTTTACTCTACTGATTTTCAGCCTGCTGTGAGCTGACCCAGATAGCACTAGAGACATGGCTAATGTACTGCTTTTCTCTATGAGAAGTCCTCACTTACCTGGGAGCTTATCAGCCTTGAGAGTATGCATAAGTCTGACCCTCAGAAGGCAGTCAGAGTAGTCCAAGGGACTTTGCTGACTTCTGGTCTGAGGACTTCCCTTTCAACACCTGTTAATTCCCAGGGCTGGCCTCCTTTCTGGGCTCCCCAACTCATCCCTGGCCTCTCTTCTGCCTGCAACTCTGCTGCTCCCTGCTGGGGAGGAGCCTCAAAGTAAAAGCCTTCCTCCTTCAGGGCGGTGCTGACAGCCTGTAATCTTACAAGGTGCTGATTGGGTGACCAGTCTCATTCTGTGCCAGGTGTGCTCTCCCTTTCCTGCTCAAGGCGGCACGGAGAAGTAGCACTGTGGTTGCAGAGAGGTGGAGATGGGAAAGTCCTTGTAACTGAGTTTCAGGATAAAATATCTGTCACTGGGCCTCAGTTTGGATCAAAGAATTGAACCTGCAGGCAAAGCCATAGCTCTCCCATAAAGTATCCAGGGCATCCTCTGTGACCCCTCTCAGGGAAATTTACTTCCTGTGCATATGATTAGGAATCAGCACTGATTCTAACCACTCTCCAGGAATAGCACCTACTGTCAGAAAAGCACTGGAAATTTCTGACAGTGCATTTTAGCTACGTGTGCACATCATTTTCCCTGTCATAATCAGCATAAACATCACTGTCGTCTTGATCATATCATCTCTGTCATCTTGATCATATTCATCTCTGTCATCCTCCTCCTCCTCCTCCTCATCATCATCATGATTACTGTCATCTCTACTGACAACCCACATTGTTTAGCCTCTGGCATGAGCCTTGTGTGTACTTCTGAAGAACCTGAGAATATCATAATACACAGTTAACCCCTTTTGGAGGATCTTCTCAGAGGAATGATAGGACTCTAAGTGCTGTGTCAGTCGCTGAGACACAGACTGAGTCTTTCTTTCATTTAAAAGAGCTCTTTTGTACATTCTATTGGTATATGGGGATTTTCCTAAAGATCAGTATAAGGCTCCCTATTTCCAGCAGGCAAAGTAAAGTCCTAGTTTTTTGGAATTCAGAGAACTGTAGAGTCAAGTCAAAGTGTTGATTAGTTATCCATAATTCAACTCCTTGACTCTTTGGCCTAGAGCACGACCACAGTAGGGCATGGAGGACTCTGAGAGCTAAAGAGCAGAGCATGTCTTGTGTTGTATTTGGCTCCCAGCTGTCCCCACAATGGCCTGGGCACCACAAGATCTCTACTCAGCCAGCAGATGGTGGTTTCGATGAGGCTGCACACAGGTTAGAGCAAGAGAAGCTGTGTGGAGTGCAGAGGCTTCTGTTCAGTGCAGGTTTGGCTTGGCCCCTGCTGTTTTCTCTCTGTGTTGTTGTTGCCTGGTCTCCTCTGTGATGATTTGGATCTGAGGTTTTCTCCAGGCATCTCATGTGCTTGGAAGGTGATAAGATCATAGAAACCCTGGGTGTGGTGTGGGGAAGTGAGGCCTAATAGGAGGTGGACCACTGTTAGTGTGACATGGAGGGGTTCATTCTTGTCTCCATCATCTCCTTTCTTGCTCTCTTCTTCCTGGATGACATTAGCTGAGCAGCTTTATTTACCATGCTGCTCTGCTGTACAGCCAGCAGAGTTTGTATGGGAACCACTAGCTGTGCTCCTGACAAACCTCTGCTCCTTTAAATTGCAGAAGTCAGGTTTTATGTCCTAGTGATGTGAAGTTAGATGATACATACACTTTACTGACTAGATAGTATCAGGTGTCTCACTGCCATATTTACTGAAGCATTTAACTCTTAGTAGACCACAGGTGTTGTAGGAACATGGAACAACCATAGATGTGCAACATAGAGTCTCACTTCATTGAATATGAGAATATCGAGTATAGTTCAACAGGATCTCAGAGTATTTCACTGAGGATCTGTGTCCTGAGACCTCTTAGGAGCACTGATTTGCTGCTTTAAGAAATATAAGTGGGAAGCAGTGGCACTCAGACAATAGCCTTGACATCTGCCTGGCTGTTGGGGAGGAGGACCCCCTCAGGGAGTGTTAGCTGTGCTGCCCATGGCTGCACTGTGCTTGGTGTGTATGCAAGTTGCTGGATGCTTCTGCTTTGCCTGGCATGACGTGATGGTAGGAGTCTGTGCATGGAAAAGAGAAAGAGGGGAAACCATGGAAGTGAAAATGAAGGGAAGGAGAGAGAGGAAGAAGTGGCTCATTAGAAGGATAGAGTAATTTTTCTGGGAGAAACTGAGCAGTGTGGGCCAGATGTCTGTCTCTGCTGTTTGTGAGCCAATCCTAGTATTCATTGACCTGGGGCATCTTGTTAACCATATCTGGATGCTACTGAAGCAGCTCCTTCTGAACCTCATAGGACCACTTCTACCCAAGGGAAGATGGTCTGTCTAGGAGTGGCTCAGCTGATGTAGTACATCCCAACCCTTCATGTGGAGATTTGGGGACTGTCTCCTCATGGGAGTGTCACATGCTCCTCTTTCTGTCATGATCACTGACATCCTGTGGGGAGTGCTGTTAGTGAGTCCACCTGGCTCAGTCTTAATTTGGACCAAATATACTTGTACCCAGAAAGATGTGGTAACTAATCACCTTTCCCTTCAGGAGTGTTCTGAAAATGTTATACTCAAAGAATTTGCTCCTCCATAAAATCCCACTTCTCACCTGGGAAAGTATGAAGCTCTCCAAATTTTTCCAGAGCTTCAGTGACCATGCCCTGCCCCTCTATACAGCATCATGGGAGCCAAGCTAGCCCTGTACAACCTATAGAATCTCAGTGTGGCACCCCCCACCCTGAGCCACTGACATGAAGCCAAGTTGAGCCCCAGACAGTTTCAGAAGCCTTGGTGACTGACCTGAGCCCCCCGCCCCCAAGTGGAAGCTGTGCTGAGTCCCAGACAGCTTGGTGAGCCACCTTCACCACTGCCCCATCTGCATGAGAGATACACTGAACTCCGGACATTTTCAAGAATTTGACAACTGTGCCTCGCCCAACTGTACAACATCACAGGAAACAAGCTGAGTGCCGGACTGCTTCAGAAGCCTTGGTGACCACGACCTCACCCCCACTCCACCAGCATAGGAGACAATCTGGACACTGGAGAGCTTTGGGAACATCAGTGTTTGCACCCCCCAACACTCCATCAGTGGGGTCAGGCTGAGCCCTGGACAGCATCAGGAGCCTCAGTGATTGAGCCCCGCCCCTTTCACCCACTGCTGGAGCCAAGATGAGCCCCAGAAAGCTTTGGGAGAGTCAGTGACCTCACCCTGCACCCCTTACAGCATGGTGGGGGCCATGATCAGCACAAGGGAACTTCAAGAGCCTTTCCTCAACACTCTGACACCATTGGGGGAGTGAGACTGAGCCCCACGGAACCTCCAGATCTTCAAAAATGACAAAATGAAGGAGCAAAATACAATCTCAGACATCCACCCCAGCCAGAACAACTCCAGGAGACATTGACATAGAAGACCTTGGAAATCCCATATTTGAAATTTCTGAAATGATTGCTACTGATGTAAAGAAACAACACTATTAGGCCATAGGAGAAATCAGATCAGAAAAATCCAGGTTAAAAAATGAAATGACAACAATAGTGAAAGAATTGTACAGTACACCTAAAGAAGACTTAGATAAAAATTGAGGAGCACTGAAAAATGATGGAATCCTAGAATGAACAACATAAGAATTAGAATGCACAGATTCAAACAGCTATCCAGGAAAATAAAAATTCCATCAAAAGCTGGCAAAATCAATGAA